GCAAAAGTGCAATGTGTGCCTACTCTCCCATAGAGGCTGCCGTAAAACGGTCAGCTAGGTGGCACTTTGTAAGTGCCCCTCAACTCACAATTGTAAAGTCCCAGTCAGGAGTTTGACTCAACCCGTCACGTATTTCAGGGCCAATTAAACGAGTGGCTCCTCATGGAGAGGCAACAAGCTATGTTCAAAAGGAAAGACTGACCCCGTCATGGGAACGTGGAGTTTCCGCATTGGCTCCCCGCCGAATGTCAGACGAATTCCACCACCGTTGCTTGTCGGACACTCCTCGGACACTACTCGTGGTGGAGTGAAGCATTTCCTCTTCTGGGATATAAAACAACAAGTGCCATTGCTCGCCTAAACGAGAAGGCAGAAAGCTTATTGTTTTGATGTCGCTTTTCCCTCTCCAAGGACTTCCCCTTTGAAGAGAACAAAGATAGTGCATAAACTTCCGTTATGTGCTTTCTAAAGTAGGTCCACGACAGTGCATTAAATCGCCATCGACAGAAGAAAAAGCGTACACAGCCTTGAAATGCCCGCTGTCTAACCCGTCCGGAATTTACGCTTACCCTGACGCAAACTGTCTTTGAACAGGTCTCATGAGGCAGGGAGCTTAACAGGGTTAATCTGCATATAGGTGAAAGAAAGGCTCGTCAACTTTAATACCCGTCAAATTGTTTGTAACGCGTTGAGCGAATGTGCACGATGCTCCAACTATAGACGGTTCGTAACTTACAGAAATTCGCGTTAACATTTGTCTATAACGGCGTGGGCACAATGCAGGGATTGATGCCCGTTCAAAATTGTGCATTATTTTAAGTGATATAGAAATATACGGTGGAAATCGTGGCCGATTTAAGTGACGCGAAACTACATGTGGTGGATGTACGGCGATTAAAGGTTTGCAAGATATGTGCAAAAGCCATGCAGTTGTATTCCCTACTGGCAAATGTGCCACACAGCAGATGATGTCACCGGTTTCATGTCAGCGGCAGTTTATTAATCAGCAACTTTACGCACAGATGAAGCACAATTGCCAATGCAAACATGAATGCTCATTCGCGTTTTTAGGGAAGACCTAAGGTGACTAAAAGTCGAAATAAATTTCGACACATTTATTTAGCGTGTATCGTATACGGCTTGATACAGGCTCCAGTGAAAATTGTTGTAATGGCGTGTAATACATTAATTGACGATGATGTGTGTGTTTTTCTTAAGCAATTTAACTGTCCATTCATTAAGGAGAAGAAGTACAGAAGAGAGCAATGCCAGACACTGCGGGGTAAAACAAAAAGCAAGGTTACAGATTCGGCAATGCACGCATTGAATTTACAGCGGATATCAAGGTGCGATAAGTCTGTACACCGATGGCAAAACGCATTTCACACTCTAGCACAGTATCATAAGCATAAGGCTGTGTTCTACACAAAGTAAATAGCGACTTGTGTATGCAGTAAATGCACATTTGAGCTGGGTTATCGTTTGTATTGTACACATTGTTTATACTCTGCTATCAACGCCTTGCCGGGTGGAGCGGTGGCACAGTGGTTAGCACACTGCTTGTGAAGTGCAAACCCAGTCGGAGGTGAGCGAGTTTCTCGGCAACCACCCCGCATTGACGGGCGTGGTGAAGTATGGTCAAACAACCCCCACTGCCAGAAACGGCATATGGAGGGCCTTCATCCAGCAGTGGATTGACAATGGAAAGTGAATGAAATTATTATGAAGGTCTTATTTCTTTCATACATCTCACAATGCCTTTACTTTAAAGTTGGTTTACGAAGTCACTTATGTCGTTTAGTTACCATTGTATTTATCTATGGCTATACGCAATATTTGTTTGTAAATACTGTAGTCAATAAAAACTGCACAGCATATGAAGAGCATCCCACGTCTCTATCGCAGCAGACCGTGTCAGTGGCTCCTCGCCATCAGCCATGGCCAATCCACTGCTGGACGGACACCTCCACCAGGCCTCCAAACACCGCCCGCTCTCACTATCCCCGCGATGTATTAACCCGTCGTAGGCACAAAGAGCTGATTCCACCGCTACCATCTCCTCGGTGGAAATCATGTCGGACGCGTTCCAATTCCCTGGCTTCACACTCCGTTATTACTCTTGACCATCGGACTAAAGTTATATTACCCAAAGCACCGTTCTCTTTCCGCGCCTTTGCAATGTACATTTGAATGTTTCATCCCCCCCCCCCCCCCCCCCTCCTGCTCTGCTTTGCAAAGTGCGCTCTAATTCATCTGCTCTAAATTATCATTCCTTTGATTCACGTGAAAATGCTGCCAAACACGTATTGCATCGCGAGCAATTACCAGTGCTGCTGGTAATCTCTGTGGCAGACTGCAAGCGCTGGCAATGCATGAGTCTCGCAAAAACAAAAAAAAAACACGCCGGGTGTTCTAACAGTTGCTTTGCATTATAACCATCGGCTCGGGGCACTTTTATCCTATTATAGTTCAGCGTAAAGATGCAGCCCTGCAACTGCTTGCTCACGCCATTGCTTGCAGATGGGTCTCCAACTTGAGAAGATATCCGACCAACTCTTCCCACGCTAGCCACAAATGCCAGTACGGTGCTTTTTCTGGAATATTTTGCAGTTTTTTTTCCTGGATTTTCTGTTTGCACAGTCACATTAGTCACTTGAAGATGTTTTTCTTGTTCGTGTTTTTGTTCTTTGTTTGTTGCGGTTGCACCCGATTCAAGAGCCCAATGGCTCACAGGGCAATACCAAATAAATGAAATGAATGAAAACTGAAGAAAAAAACTGATATCCTTCTTTAAGGGTTCAAAGTGACATTGCAAACTATGTGAAATACTACTTTAAAGGCTATTTATGCAAGCGACCACAGGCGTTTTGTAAGAGATGTGAGTACCCACACTTTACCCCCACCACACGCAGCCTAAACGTGGTTGCATCCATTTATTCCGCATGCCGGGGTTGTATAGAGGCCCCAGGATCTAAGAAACGTGGCCAACATTGCAAGTGCCGTACCGGGAAATCGAATCGAACAGAACCGACGACCTGTGGATTGCAGGTTCGGTGTTCTAACCCATGTGGAACAACCATGGCAGAATCATCCCTCCTCTTAAGCGAATGTACACTACTAGCCAATGCTGCTCCTGCCACTTTCCAATGTAATAATATTCCGGCTTGTCTGGCAAACGTTTCGTCGACTCAGGCATCATCTCGCACACGTTCTAGGCAAGCGGCGTGTGTGTGTGTGTGTGTTTAGGCTCGCGTAAATATTCTTTCCGTGGACTACCACTGGAAACGCACCCTTGGGTTCCCTGCCGAGCAGCGCATTAAATAAAGTCCAAATAAACACAATGAGCGTTGTAAATAAACACTACCCCACCGCTCCACTCTCGCTCGCCTCCTCGAGAGTGCGAAGCGCGCGCGCGCGGCCCCTTTAAGAGCCGCGCGCGCGCATCGCACAGACGTCGTGACAATGGGGGTGCAAGTGGCATTGTGCACACAAAAGACAAAGGTCCACCGTGTAGCCTGCGCACACTTTGTTTTTTTTTTTGGGGGGGGGGGGAGGTGCAAGTGCTGTCAAGTGAGGCACCACCGCGAAGGGCCCAAATAGCGAACATCGATGGGGTTGGTGTGGCCAGCGCGCAAAGCCGGCCACCTTTGTCTTTCCCGGCGAGGGAGTTTTTACACATCGTGCTAGGCGCTAGTTTACGGCTGAGTCGACCTAGGGGGAGACCCAGAACCGGCACCGATTCAGATGGGTCACCCACTGGCGCAAGAGCCGTGGCCGGGAGTGGAACTCGGATGAGGCCGCAAGCCGCGCTAATCACTGCGCCACCGCTCCCCACACAACATTTGTACACACACAACTAAAAAACAACAACACCGGACGTCTAATGGAGTTAAGTTAAATTATTTTGATACAAAGTTAGCTTTGGAAACAAACAAACAAACGCGCTCTTTGACTAATATCGGCCAATTCCGCATACTTACGTAGCTTATCTGTGTTCCGATGTTTAGCAGATAAACATATTTACGTAATTCACGCGGCAAAGTATTAAAGGTGCTCTCTTTTTTTCCCTTTAGCAAATGCTCTGGTCAGTAGTTGGGAACGCGCTGCTGTTTAAAATCTCATTCGCAGTGAGCACTGCGTTTATAGTCATGCACTGCTTACGTGTGCGATGGCTATTGCACTGTGGAGTGTAACAAACAAAAAAGTCCACTTTACAAAAATAATAATAATGAAGATGATGACGAAGGCTCAACAACATCAACACCAAACACAATTAGCATAAAGCAAGCGAAACGGGGAAGCAGGCGTGTGCAAAGAAGTCCCCAAGTATGACACCAAATACTAACATATTCTTGGGTCTTTCAGTAAAAGCCAGAAAAAAATAACAACAACAAAAATAACAACAACAAAACTACGACGTTTCGATCGCAACACAAGCGGTCGTCTTCAGGATAACCACCCCAAAGAATATGAATTCCTGATGGTCACCAAAATAACAGTCGCCAATAACGCAGCGCGGCGTCCAGCGATGGCAATGGCCAGCGATGGCAATGCCAGCGATACGAACAGTTGCGACGCGAAATTTCGCAGATAAAAAGAGCCCCCAGCGAGCGAGTGAGTGGTGGCGTGTCGCCAGTTAAACATCCAAATTGCGCACAAGGCGACCAACTCGCGTTCCAAGTCAACAGATTGTGTGCATCGCGCCTAGAGAGCACCCGTCAACGAGCCAGCCGTGGAAATTCCACATTCCGGTGGCGGGACTGGGAACAATGCGAGTCCCCCTCGATAAGAACGACCACTGTTTAGGAAACCGTCCGACAAAGCTGCATCGTACACACGCACGCGTCAATGCAGCTCGACCGGCTACGATGCAGCAACAACAATGACCACGAACCGCACGGTACCCAAGCGAGCGAGCAGCAGCTGAGCCTGCATGGACGAGAGTTGGGGATGCTGGTGAGCAACTCTCACGGTGCTCGCTCCAGAGTTGCTCAATTCACCTTTGCGCGGAGCAGGCTCCACGTGCGTCTGCGTGAGACTCCATTCCTCCTCCTCCTCCACCCGCTCCTTGCCCGGCACAGCCGAGCCGTTTCCCTCTCCCCTCCCCTTCTCTTCTGCCTCTCTCCCCGTCGCTCTCTCTCTCTCTGTTGTGTCTGTCGTCCACCCCCACCTCTCGTCTGAACCGTCTTGCCCTTGCTGCCGTCTTCGACAGCTGCCTGTGTCCTCCGTCCGCCTTCGGCAAGAACGTCCGGCGAGACGACTCCGCGTGTAAACACACAACACACACGCTCGCAACGCGCGGCGCGCCGCTCCACTGTGGCTCTGCAGTTGTTTCTTTTCTATAGTCAGTCCGGCCAACCCCTGATCCTTTCGCCCTCCCTCCCCTCCCCTCCCTCTGTTCTCCCACCCTCTTCCTTCCTCCTCTCCCGCCCGCCCGCCCCCCTTCCTGCCTGACTGCCCTCCGTGTGCCTCGCTCTCGCTCTGTCTTCTCGTTTCTTACAGCACACAGCCGGCGAGCGTCACAACAGCAAAGCCACTGCAGCAGCAGCGGCGGCGGCGGCGGCAGGCCTCGACACCAACAGCGGCAACAGCAAAAGCCGGAGCTGTTCACGCTCGAGTGAGCGAATGATGTGACTCATGTGAGGGCTTCCCTGAGATCGTGCCATTGGCCCGAATGCGAAATGTAGGGGTGCCTCTGCGTTGTGGGTGTGTGTGTGAGTGTGAATGCGCTTTCGTCCCATGCCCCATACGCAGTATAACGCAACACGTACAATTTGAATCTTCACTTAAAGCTTTCGTGACTGCAGGAATTCATATTCTTTGGGTCTTTCGGTAAAGTCACGTGAGATAACAAAAAAAACTACGATGTTTCTGTCACAACACAAGCGGTCGTTGTCAGGAGGAAAGAGATCGAAACATCGTAGTTTTTTTGTTATTTTCTTTGAACCTATCTACGTGACTTTACCGAAAGACCCAAAGAATACGTACAACTTGGGTGCATATACGGCGTTGTATGCACGTGTGTATACTGCCTACACACCTATCTCAAAACTATATTGTTTTGGGAAGTGCCACACACGTGTGTGTGTTTTATTAATCTGTTTACATTTTTTACATAATATTTTATGAATGCTGCCATTTAGATATATGGCTTCTCGTATAAACTTCATGTTTAGTGGTGGATACACTATACAGTACATACAACATCGCATACTCGGACATGACGGTATACAAAGCTGAGATTAGTTTTCCTTGTATTGTGTTTTGGATAATCTGCGCCCCGTCAAGGAAATATGGAATGTTAACCAATACTTTAGGATTTCCCAAATGCACATTCGATCGGAGATACACCTTGGTTTAACCATTGAATAGCTAATTCCGTATGTTAAATACATTAGTTGATTTCTGCTTGTGGTTGCCACATCGATGTTAACTCTCATGCACTGCTGTAATATAGTTTCCCTATGGAAAGATCAGCCCGTGCCATAGGAATGTGTAGCTCCCATCCCTGGCAAAGACAACAGAGATAATGAACCACAATATGCAGGTTGGAACTGGGACATTAGTTTACTTTGCTGTCTGTGTAAAGCGATGGATATGTATAAATATGTTAATTGTAGATCAAACAAGTATTGTATGCATGCAGGGAAATGTGTATACAGCCTATATTTTCCCAATATGTATCTTCCTTGTGGCCCTGAGTGAGTGGTGGAAATTCCACAGTTCTTTGGTGGGGGACCAGTTTATTCAGAGGATTGGCCAGTGAGTTTTTGTGTTGTTCCTGGCATAAAGTTTCAAATTGTACGAACTGTATCTCATTATTATGCCATATACCAAAGCACTCTACGAGGATGCGAAAATGCAGTCAACGTGAATCCACTGAATGCCATTTATGAACACATCCTCTCTATGGCACGGTATCCGCATGCACTGCGATCAAACATTACACGTACAAATAAATGTCAAGTTAAACACACAAACGCTCGGCCCAAATAAAGATCTGATACCAAACACTGCCAAGTCAAACATGACACAATTGCACATTGTACTGCATATGAACACCCCCATAGTCACTGCGTATATAAAAAAACAAATCTTGTGGCGTCAGCGAATGCACCCCCCTACTCGAAGCCGTTGAGTGGTGGCGTCCTGGCAGCTATGCGGAGTGGGTCATCCCGCTGTGACTCCTTTCATTTCTCTCTTGACAGGGAGCAGCGAGTGCCCTAATGGCTCTTGACAACGGCGGCGCTAAGACTCTCTACCAGCGGAGCTGCGGCGACTAATGAACAGTAGACTGTGCAGAGTGGGGTCGCCAAAATAAACCAGTGTCCCCTGGCCCCTCGGGATCAAACACGGAGCGGACTGAGCACAGCTTGCAAAAGAATATTCACGTGGCAACATTTTCCACACCAGCCCCCCCCGCCCCCCCCCCCCCCAGCGCCTCTCCCCGCCGCCTCCCTGGATGCTCATCACAGCAGCAGCACTTTCTGTGTCTGTTGCTGGGTTTCCGATTAGCTTTTCTCTCTCTCTCTTTTGGCTGGTATATGCAATGTCCATTCAGGACAAAACTGTTTGAGAAGCAATGTTTGGTAACTGTGAAAAGTGTGACGGTGAAGACAAACTACTGCTCGTGGAAAAGACCTCCGCTAGAGGGGGGTGAAGGGAGCCCCTATCGAATGAATGGCTGCTCTCTGAGACGTTGGCTCTGTTGTGGGCGCATTGCAAATGTTACTTGTACGTGTTACAACATTTTTGTTTGGCAAAAGCACAGCCCTGAAATTATTTGCTCACACCACTGCTGGCAGAACTGTCTCCATGAGAAGGCAGTTCTGAAGCCCCCCTCTGGAGGACATTTCACCGACTCCGTCCACCCTGGCAAGATATTTTGGAAGTGGTGTGGAGTGCCCACACTTTACCCCACTACACTCGACCTGACGATCGACTGTCTGTGGTGCGCAAATATATACATAGTTATCTGGCTGGGTGGAAATTCGAATGAGGTTTGATACAAATGTACAATTAAATTAACAAACAGAACATGTCATGTTGAAAACATATCTAACTTGTCATGTGTCATTTAGACCAGGACATATATTGGAGTTTTATGTCCTTAAAAAAAACGTTTATTTTGGATGCAATGAATAATTAAACAATAGTTTGTGTTGACTTCCCCACAGAGTGCTACATATTTTATTGGCCAGAGAGGGATAATGGATTGAGTCTTCCCCCTAACCTGGAATTGGAATTCTCGCAAAGTTCTGATTGTGAGCCGTTCACTCGGGCTATATGTATATAGCCACCTGGCCAAATCCATTACTTTTAAACATTAAATGTGTTTGATTTCAATGCAGAATCAATGTTAAGTTTCACCTTTCCAACTCGCAAGAGCCTTTACCCATGACACAAGCATTTGAGGTAAAATGCAGAGTACATGTGTTTTAGATTTTTGGAATGTAATATCAAACTCAAATGTATTTTCAGGTCTGATTATATCCTAATGTTGATAATCCTATTACAGAATGCAATGATATGAGACCACAAAGTAGCTTTTAAGGGTTATTCCCAGAAAGTACGTAATTATGTAATGTGCCGCAGTAGTGCCATATTGTTGTGCATGTGTGTGGTTTGCAATGTCTGCAAGCTACAGTATGTGGTTTTATGTGTGTTTTATTTGTATGTGTCCGTATGTATGTATGTTGCAGGCCTGCATGTTGTGTGTGTGTGTGTTAGGTGTGCAGATGATCGTGTTTGTCTAGAATGTGTACACGTTTTTATCTGAAAATCACCAAGCGGCCAGCAACAAACATCACTATTTAAATAGCAATAGGCACGCGTTGATGCGTTACCTCCAATGAGCCAGGTTATAAAAACAAAAGTAATAGACAACTTGGTGGAAGGGACGATTATTTTATTTTTCTGGAGTCCACGATCGATGTTCGGTCGCCGCGTTGATGGTGTCCGTCGTGATTTCTCACTTTAACAACAGAGTGGGCCGCTTGAAGGCTTCTCGACGGGTGAAGGGATGTACAATAAGCGTGGGAGAGCAGGAGGCCTGCAGAGAGTGTGGATGAGACTAAACGGTGAATCTGAGAGGCCTCACCGTGTTGTGTGAATAGTTTGTGTGCGAGTTACCTCCGCGTGTAGCGACGGGTGGGGGTGTTTGTGATGCTTACCGCTAATAACTGTGATTTGTGTGTTTTATCTCGTGTGAACGTACTGTGTGTGTTGTTGTGAGCGCATCCGCGGCTGTATTTGTTGTGCACGCGGCGTTGTTTTAATCGTTTGTCATGGGGAAGTAATGAATGCATTTGTTGCACGTTGCAATAACACACACAGCCTCCACAGCGCTGTTTATTTGGAATAAGGTAATAATTAAACCTTAGTTTCGAAGGAAAGTTAATGTGTTGATGTATCCATGTTCACAAGTTTATACTCGTCATATACAACTACTTGACATTTTTAATAAATGTTATTGAATAGTTGGTTATTCAGTATTTATATTTAAAGTTATGAGACCATCAGTGTAACTGTTATAAGAATAATTATTGTTAAAATGGCTTTCATCAGAAGCCTGCGTAAATCATAATCTTTTTTTATAAGACAATCATTATACAGAGCCATTTAGTGACACTTCAAATAATAATTGTGAATTAGTTACTCAAGAAAGCCAACACAGATCATAGACTCTTTTTCAACATTGTTCTGTATCGGGATGTGTGTGACCAACGCCAATGGCATTGCATGTTTTTAGCTAAGGAAACCCCGGAGGTAACCCATGCACAACACGCAGAGGACACACAAGGGCTCGCACAGAGAGGCTCAACCGAGTTGGGAGTCGAACCCAGGGCCTTCGTGCTGTAAGGCACACATGTCACCACCGTGGACGGAGTAACGCAATCCGCGACACAACAGTCCCAGCGTGAGCTTTGATTATTTATCTGACACTTCCCTCGAACAGCTGCTTAATGATGATGCTCGCCACACGCACATGGGGAACACATGAGAGAAATGCACACACAAGTAAACACGTTGCAATGAGGTCCCAAGTGAGGGTCATTAACGTTGTGTCTGGATATAGCATCAATTGTTGCCTTCGTCAGAAGATATCTTGATGGCTTGATGGGTATTATGCTATGAGGTTGCAGAGTTAAGATATTTCTATTTGACATAGAGTACTCACTTAATATACATATTATTTTTTTATAGTCATGTTTAACTTAGACTGTATTAAAGTGTCTCTCACCATTAAGCATTTTCCTGTTACATGTTACAGAATGATTGTTTTTTTTATTTCGATTTTCCGCACCGAGCACATTTCTGTACTTTTGCATTACAAACGATGTCCTTTGATTAATTATCACTACGTAACACAATTTTTGTTCCTGGGTACTGTGTTATTTTTTTATTGCTTATGCCTA